GACGCGCAAATCGCCCGCAATATTGCAGTCTAATCGAAATGACTTATGCGCGAATTCGATGGTTATTTCGGCAAGGATGGCGACTGTTCGGTTGAAAATCACTCTGAGATTTGAGCAAAGTCTTGAGAGTAAAAACGAAAGCAGTAACAGTGGCGAATTGAACAAGGAACGAAATACAAAGAAAATCTGACGCCACCAGGAGTTTTTAGAGAGCCAAGTTTGTTTCCCTTGAAATCAATGAGTTTAGAAAACTTTCACTCTTAAGGCTAATCTCACACGTCTGACTCGTTCTCGTGTAAAATCAAATTGCTACTAGCTGATTAAAGTTGTATATTGACTTACAGTTACGCAAGTACATACCCCAGCTATTTTTAGCATCTAAGTCCACATCGAGATATACAGCTTATGTTCGGTTTAGTAACAGTTTGTATACAAATATCTGCTGATATATATATATATATATATATATATATATATATATATATATATTCTGAATTATATTTTTATTATTATTTAAGTAGTGGAAAGTGTAATAATGTACATGGAGAATCTGGTATGTTTCACAGCTAATTTCAAGAAGCTGCAATTATCTGCACTAGAAATTCATACAAGTTCCAAGTTGTATAAATGAAACTTTCAGCAAATACATATAATTTCAATTACTGTAAAATATTTATATTAATGGTAAATTATATTCCCGAATAATGGCACGTTTATGGCCATAATAACGTCAACAGTACGCAAATACACATTTTTATGATCCTTACCACTTACCATTAATAGATATCCTCCATTGAAAAACTATACGAAAACATTGATTATGAATATTTGATATGGAGCGACCATCAACTAATTATCCACTTTATACTAAAATATTATTTTAATTTTCCATAAGTCAATAAATATTGCCAGACGTGTTAATAATGGACTTTCGCGATATGAAAAAACATGTCATTTTTTGATAATGTAACCTCCCTATCAATTTTCTATGTTTAATTTATTAACTTGATTATTAAATGCATCGTTAAAATTACTTTGAAACTTAAGTAATATGAAAAATTTTAATTTATTATTATTATGAATTTATAATAAAAACTTCTAAAATTCTCACAATGACATCAATTTATCAAATATGGCCAATTCAGTTGGTAATGGAATCTCTTCACTTTCCTAAGATTTATTTCAATATCAAACTTGACTATAATATATTGATTGACTAATAAATTTACATCTTACTGTTTGGTAAAATAATGTTTTAATAACCACAAAATTACCAGAGACTACTAATTTTATCAAGGAAAAAAGATCTTATTTAAAAGTATAATCTTAGTTCGACAGCTTACAACATAAAACGACAAACTTTCCCCAACTTATTTCGATTATTTTTAGATAAGATGAGCAAAACTTTTACAAACTATTATTTGAAAGGCTTTAAATAAAATTGGTCAGTATTTTATATTTCAAAAAGCTCGTCTATAGAAAATGCTTTAAATATTACAAGTATCTATTTTCTAAAGATTTCTTTAGTATATTTCATAATTTAAAAATATTAATTAATGAACGTTCGAGGAATTTGCTCTTTGAACTATGAAAGGCAATTTATTATGTGCAAGGAACAATGTTACTTTATCATTTAACATTAGTATTATATTTTTTTTTAAATACATATCAAATGTTGCTTATTTAAATATGTACCGAGAACATTTTTAAGTAAAATTATAACTTTTAATAACGTTACTCTACTATTCGAGAAAATTGAAAGTTTCGAATTATAAAATATTCTAAAGCAGACGGTAAATTTGAAAAAAAAAAATTATTTCACGTGTACGTTTTATTAAATCACTCAGTCCTTTAGATAATTAATAAAACTAATATGTAAATGACAATTCATATATAATTTCACATAAGACGAAATAATGTTTATAATTATGTTTGGCTCTTAGAATTACTCTTAAAATGTAAATTATAAATTTGTCTTCCAGTTTGAAAGTTTGAATTACAAACAATAACTGAGATTTTGATTGATTAACTTGCAAATAAAGTGAAAGTATTATTGCAAATGAAGTATCATTTGAATAAGTTGTAAATAACTCTCGTGGGAAGGCAATAAAAAAAAGAAATAAATAATAAAAAAAAAATTCGACGTATTTTCTGCCGTAGTGAGTAAGCTGAATAAAATGAAAATGAAATGATAAAAATAAAAAGTCTAACCCTGCACACATACATTTGAATTCGGAGATTTACTATGTTTTATTGGTCGGGAGACGCATCTAATGTGAAATTCATGCTCCCTACGAGCATTTTTTTTTTTTTTGCGTTTTCATCTGGTACACCTGCACTGACAATTTTCACACATAATGCGTGCGTGAGTATATGGATATAATAAGAACACACAGTGCTCCGAAGCGTTTTATTGCAATCCAGTGAAGACAGCTGCGTACGTAAGAGAACAAACCCCTCCCCCACAAAGCTCGTGTGACGAAAGAAATGCATTTACCTTATGAAAACCGGATGGTGTTCTAGAAATGAATCTGTCGAAGCCTCATCAGTCAACTTATATGTTTTACCCATCATAGCATATAATCGAAAATATAAAAGCTTTTCTTTTAATTCTTTCATATACGAAGTAGTTAAAAATACATTGTAATTTTATTTAACTATTTCATAGCCGCACACATAAGTACCATAGAAGGGTAAATACCTTCTTTCTGCAAGCGCTTGTAAAATCAATGTATAAGTCTTCTCATTAATGTAAATTTTTTTCCAAATAATTTCTGACGATTTTTAGTAAGCTTTGGCTTTTATTACACTACCAATTCATTTAATCTATATTATTAATTATTAAATGTAATTAAATTGAATTATGATGATTTTGTAATGAAAATTATTGTTACTATGTGAATAATAATTTTATTTAAAATATTTCTATCCAACTTACTTTAATATTAAGAAATTTCAGTTACTAAATCTACATAAATAATTATATTATAAATACGTTCTATCTAACCTGTCAGATACACATTGTTATAGTAATCGATGAGTTCTTAGTGTTAAAATATGTTGTTTTGATAAAAATGTAATGAAATATTTACTTAGCTCCCTAAGCTGTCAATCACTGTAGAATTATCTGAGCAGACTATTTGAGTCTACCATAAAATGTTCAAGTTCATTAATATTAACGTATAAATTTCCTAATAATTATTTTTAAATGTTTCTATATTTGTATTCGTATGTATTCGTATGTATTCGTATGTATTCGTATGTATTATCAAAGTCAAATAGAATTAAAAAAAAAAAATCGAGTAGACGAGAATGTTAATATGATTTTAAAAGTTTTATAAAAGCTGCTCTAACTTACTATATTTTATCTTGTTTTGTCTCAAATTTCAGTTTTAAATTTGGTATTTGTACAATTGATCTTGGAAATTATAATAAAAACGAAGAAACTCAAATGAAACTCATAAACTTTATTTTAATTAATATATATGCCTGCATAATGTAAAAGTAATAATAAAATATTACAGAATTCTATTGTCAGTATTTTTGGATGGTGCAATATATTTTGACTTAATGTTTTAATTAAATTTGAAGAAAAACATTAAAATATTTGACATTAGGATATCTTTAATAAAAGTGAACTGGGGATAATGATTAAGAGTACTATATGGAATTGACAAAAAAGTTGGTACTTATTTGCTGATTATTCGTGTATATGTTTTATAATAATTATTTTAGTGAAATTTTTAAGTATATATCGTATAATAAAAAATGTAAATAGTTGATTGAAAGATAATGATAGTTTAAACATTTTTAAAAGAAAAATAAAAAATAAATAAAATTATATTTGAAAAAACTTTAACTAATCAGTTTAAAAATACATAATAAATACAATAAGATACTTTTATTACACTATTTGTTTACAACAAAGTGATGGAAACTGTAAAATTTGAAACATTAAGAACAAGTAATTTGTTTATTAATATTAAAAATAAATAGCTGAATATTATAAAAATAATAAAATGTTATTCATCGTATTAAATAAATTCATATATTACACTTCATTAATTTTACACGTTACGTATTAAAAATAACTTTTATAAATATTTGACATTCCGCACTATTAAAATATTGCGAATAATTTTTAATTTTTCTTATCATTGAGAAAATTATTGTCAGCAATATTTTTTCATTATTAAATAAAGAATATATTTCATCTTTAAACCATTCTTCTTCCTTTTATAATAAATTAAAGTATGGTGGCTACTATTCTCATATATATATATATATATATATATTTTTTTAAATTACGTTAAAAGATTTGTATAATCCTAAATTGTAAAAATCAAGTATCATAAATTTAAATAAATTGTCTACAATATTTTTATTGTGCAAAAAATTTATATACCAATAGCTGTAAAATTTTCTAATACAGCTCTTCTTCAAAATAAATTATCATTAATGATTAAATTAATTAAATTGATGCGATTGATTAAATCAATTTTATATTCAGCTTAAATGTGAGAAATCTGAGCTATCTTAAGTTTGTCAAAATAGCCTTGGTCTTTAGAAAAACATCGAATACAAATTTAATTATACCTATGCAATTACAATTAATTTTACCAACAATTTCATCATTGGAACTACTAATGCAAATATATTATATTGAATATCAATTGTTTATCAAGAATGCAACTTACATTGATCGAATGCTCCAATATGTAACATAAAGATTTTCGAGTTTAAACAATTTTTTAACGAATACACTCACTTAATTATATCATTGACCAAAAGTATTATTTAATAAATCGCCAATATCATTTTCACGAAAAATATCCGTAATTTTTTAACTATTAATGGAAAAACATATCAAATATTATCCAAATTATTATTCAGATCGCCATCTGCTGTTACAATGTAACAACACTGCACATCCGTTACTTTTAAAATATTCAAGAGACCATTTTTAATTCTCCTACTAAGGATATTTGAATAAATTCTTTGAATTTAGTTTCAGGGCCTGCCAACATGTATTTGTAAAATTTCTTCAATATTAATCGTCACGTTGACTTTCTATCCAAGCCGTGCAATGTACTCAAGTCTCAAAATCCTTTGTTAAAATTTCTTTTATTTTTTTAGATGAAATCGATTGGCACTATAAACAAAATAAGTTTATATACAGTTTGCAGGTATGATAAATTACGATATATATATATATATATATATATATATATATATATATCCATATAGACAATTCATCTAAACTATATTTTTATAATTTTTGCTCTTTGTGACTGTTATTGACAAAGAGAGAAAAAAAAATCAACCCTCCATGAATTATTCCATGTGCGTAGAGAGAGAGCGAGAGAGAGCGAGAGAGAGAGAGAGAGAGAGAGAGAGTGCGGGACGTTACTCGAAGAGAGATATAGAGACAGTCAGTCAGTACGTGTTTTTAGCTTAAAAACCGTAGACTATATTTACATTGGTTACCGTTTCCGTGTACATTTGGGTTGTCAGGGCCTATGAATTGGAGCATGAGGTGACTGCAATTGCGTGGGCGTCATGTCTTCCCGCGTTGTACTGTTTATACTTTGTAATCTCTTTTGTGTACATAATTTTACGTACTTGAATCAGTAAATCGCATTTTGAATAGAAAATTTACAAAGAATAATTATTGCGACAAGTTCTAATTTATAACTTACGTAGAGTTGATATGTATATATTTTAATTTATTTAAGCATTAATGACGTCTAGTTATAACCTACAAAATAGTGTTACTCATTATGAAAAGTTTTGTAAGGAAGTTTTTTTATTTATATTATGAATAATTATATTTATAATACATTAATGAGCTGTAAGTCAATAGATAAATGCAATGTTTACGATTTTTAGAATTTTATAGCGTGGATAATAGAATAAATGGATAATGAGTGACTCAGATGATACAGATGATTTACTATTGATACCGCCAGATTTTTTTATCGTTTCTTCATTAGACTCAGATGATCGCTCAGAGTATTCGAGCTATAGAGAACATAAGACCGGTGTTGTGTCTGAACTTATTGATCATATGCAATCGTTAGAATCTAGAATATTTGCAATTGAATCAAAAGAATCCTCCGATACTTCTTTAAACTGCAGTAGACGCTTATCTTTCGATTCGGTTATGAGTTTTAGGCAAACATTACCAAGGACGATATCCTCTGTAAGTCAAACATCCAACATACAGAACACTCCTACTAAATACTTCCAGTGCTCATCTTTACCATCAACCCCTAGCGTTCGACAACAGCCATATCATACTAACGAAATGCATCATTCTATAAAATTACATGGAAATTCCATAACAAATAATGTGCCTACAAATTCTAATGTACAAAACAAGCATGATAACTCAAAATTACTTTCAGAGCCTACATCATCGCAACCTGCTTCTCAAAATAAAAATAACTTGCATGTTGGTACTGGGTTTTCTGATAAAGAATCATCCTCAATGCTATTATCTCCATTAAACGAATGTGGAAATGTAAAACACCATAATGTTTATAGTTCTTTACCTTTATTAAATTCCTTTAGTGCAACGGCAGATCATTTTCATACAGACGCAAAACCAATTTCGAATATGAGTCTCTCTGAAGTGGACGAATTTCTACAAGAAGTAGATAATAATGACAAAGGTCTAATGGCTAAAAATGGTAACTGTAATGGACAACCGCTACAAATAGATTCAAAAAGTTTATCCAATAGAAATTATTTTATCGAAAGAGACGATCGAGATAAAAGAAAGACAATGGAGCAGAAATTAAAATTTAGCGTCAATGATTATCAATCTGACGGTGAAAAAAGAAAGGATGTAACCGATTGTTCATTGTTCAATGATACTTCCTTCTCTTCTTTTGATACAGAAAAATTTATGACTGAATTTAAAGCATGGTCTCCGACGTTAGAATTAAGCGACAGTAAAATTAGCATTACTGAATTAAAAAATTATGATGAAATGGACAAATTGAGTAATGCTCAGCAAAAAAAGTCAGACTATATCTGTAATAATACCGACTTTTCTTTGGAAAACAAAACGGAGAGTCTTCACCAATATTTGGATGCGAATTTAATTTCCAGGTGTGCCGATGAGTTTACAAAATCGGAAACATTCTCAACTATTTCTGCACAGCAAATTAGTCAAAATATTTCAGATAGTAAGAGTCTCCCAAGTATTTTTAAGACACCAAGTAATGTATCTATATCGAAACCAGCGGAGGCTCTAGTTAAGAAACCAGAAATTTCAAATAATGGAATTAATGGAAATTATTCTGTGGAACAAAGCGCTAATATTATCAATAGTATAGATGCTCGCAATCAAAGGCCACAACGCCTATTAACTCTTTCAGATTTATGGAATAACGATTCTAGTAAGTCATTGGAAGAACAACTGCGAATCAAACTGGAAGAAGAAAGAGTTAGAAGAGAGGTACAATAATTTTCATTATTTTTATGAATTTTTTAATAATTTCATTCTAAGTAAATTCTAAGTACCATATGTAAACTATTTTAAACCCTTACAGCATTGTGAGAAATTAATTCAAGAATTACAAAAAAAATTGTTAGAACAACAAGAGAAAATAGCCGTTGCTGTTCGCTTAGATAATGAAAAAAATTCAATTATTTGTCAATTTCAAGTGTCATGGAAGAAAACAAAGCAAAGATTGTGTGAGCTCGAATCAGAGAGAGAAACTCTCGATAAATTATTAAAAACCATATCGGACAAGCATCAATCAGAAGTCAATAGTTGTCAAGAGCAAATTAAAAGCTATAAAGAAGAATTATCAAAAGCTTTAAATTTAGCTACTGGTTATAAAGAAAAGAGCGATTCTCTTATCAAAGAAAAAGTGGATATGTTAAATAGTCATGCAAATGAATTGCAGAATTACAAATCACTGGTGCAGCAGGCAGAGACAAGGTATGAAGAAATGAAAGTGGAATGTCAGAAATTATTTGACAAGAATCAGCAAACGGACGAGACTTTGAAAGTTACTCAGCAAGACCTCACTAAGGAACTATTAAAAAGTAACGAGGTGAGGAATGAAATGACAGTTATACACAAGGCACTAGATGCTTGTGAGACGGAATTAATTATTTTACGCCAAGAGAAAGAGAATTTACAGCTTAAATTAAAAGAAGAAGGTAACAGGAACAATATCCTTGAGCAATCGAAAGCATCCTTAATTATAGGCATTAATGAAGCAAAGGAATCAGAGGTAAATTACTTACTTTACTCTTTTTACTCTAAAAATTTTGTATAAATAATTTTGTATCTTTAACATTGCGTAGAAATTAGCGAAAAATGAAATTAAATCACTTAGTGATCAACACGAAAAATTAAGAGTCGAACTTCGAGATGTTTATCAAAAGCAAGTTGATGAAGTTGTGAAAGCAAAACTTCAAGAATTCCAAACTCAATTAGATTCAGCTGAAATGATTTTTCAAAATGAAATTGAAACTAAACAATTAGCTATAGCTGAATGCGCAGCACGCAAAATAAAAAGTGTCATCGATAAGTAAGTACAGATTTTTAATATTGTTACCCAAGTACTCTTATTTCATTAATGAATTGAACTTGAAGTAATGTAATTTTATGTTTTAAAGGCATAAGCTTGAAATAAACCTAATCGAGGAAAAACATATAGAGGAAAAAAAATTATTTGAAATAAAGGCAGCTCAAGCTACACAGAGAGCTGCGATGCTAGAAGCTCAATTAAGCAGCAATCAAAAAAGTAAAAGCCAATTGGTTGAACAATTACATTCTATGTTGCAAAAGCAGTGGCAGCAGGCACTTTTAATAATTTCAGGTAAGAGAATCTTTTTTTCGTAAAAGATTTTGAAAATATTAGCAGTAGATCTAACTTCTTAATGCTCTAGGTGGTAATGGGGAAAACATGTCGTCGATAAAAAAGCTTAATGTTGATAAATTATTTACGTTGTCAAATGAAAAAAATCTTGATTTGATGCCAAGTCACTGTAGTCCATTATTACACTCTGAACCAATGAAACTTGATACTCGAAAGAATTCAGGTCTACAAAATATACAAAATCAAGAACATCAGAATGAAAATTTGGCTACTTTAATTTCACACGATGAAACTCCAGTAAGTAGCAGAAAAGAAACAACGAGCGATCTTAGGAAATACATAAAAATGGTTAGTTATGTATTTATATATACCAATCATATATCAATAAATAAATATATTGAGAATCAAAGCTATATAAATAGTTATTAAAAATAATTTAACCTTAGATATTGGATATGCAACAAGCAAAAGAAGATTATACGAAACCGAAATTTTTCAACGGTAGTCCACCAACGAATAAAGAATCGTCTGAGAAACAATCATCGACAAAAGATATTAGTACATCTAACGAAGGTAGTTCTACATGGCAACCCATTTCTGAGGTTTGACACTCTAATAATTATTTATAGTAGGTTTTAAAATGAATTAATAATATTTATTCCCATTTAGATATCCGTCCACGATACCAGTGAGTATTTGAGCGTTCCACAAAAGTTTAATTTTAAAAACGACCACAAACAAAAGCCACCATGGAAATGATCCTATTTGAACTTTAAAACTGACGACAGCACTGGTATTGATGAAATTGATAATGTACATTGAGAAATAATTTGAAATACAATTTAATTTTTTAAGTAATTATAACATATTATATACTTAGGACATAATATAAAAAACTGTATATGCGCGCGTGTGTGTATGTATGTATGTATGCCTGCGTTAGTGTTTGTGTTTGTATGTATAACGACATTCGTGAGCTACATTAGACATTAGACTTGGTGCTTAGGTCGCTGTTATCAATATTAAAAATACGAAAACAGGAAATAATACGATATGTTTATCTTGAATTAAATTTATAAACTAAATGCACGCGAAATTGCGAGCTTTGTACGATTTAATCTGATAAATATTGAAATATTTCTAAACCACAATAATTATCTCTTTAAGTTTAGTTTAAAGCATTTATAATTATAATAGATATGATATAAACTAAAGAGTGCTTGATATCTGTACAAATATATTATTAAACAACAGAGGTTAGGATTACGTTGTGATGAAAACAAAACGAACAAATTTTTGTTAACGTGAATTTAAATTTATATTCATAAGCAATTCATTATGTATTATGATTTTATTACATTTAATATTGTTATTTTAATAGATATCAATTTTTCAAAGTTAATTGAAAAGAATTAAAATTAATATCATAACTTATTAAATTACTTTATTACCAATATGTAAAATTAAATTCAAAGTTAACTACGATTAAAATAAGTATAAATTCATCAAATGTACGAAAAATGTAACAAAATTATGTTTATACATATAAGTTATTAATATTTTCATTATATCACATTTTTCACAAACTTTTCAGATTCAAAATAACGAATATAAATTGTTTTTTTTTTTTTTTATTAAAATTTTATTTTGTAATATGAATTTTGTTCGAAATTGCGAGAACCCTTTCCAAGTCGTTAAACATCTAGAAAATCCAGGTCATTAGACATCTGGAAATAGTCGTTAAACCCCAAAATTAAAATCTAACGGTACACTCAGCAGAGCCGCTACGGAAGGTGTACAGGATATCGCATACATAGTTCCCAAGGGCACGAAGCGTGTTGCAAGACTTGAAGGATCCGGTGCCAACGCGCACTTCTTATACTAGGGGCCATAGCCACCTTATCACTAACCAGAATTTTCATTTGGGATGTAATTATAGATCATAATATGCGCTATGAGAATTCTACAAAAAATTGTCATTTACATAATAAGCTTAATATAATTAATCAATTCGATTGTACGTTGTATACATTATTATAATAATTTGACGTAAAAATCGCAATTATCGACTTGAAACGAACTTATGAAGGAAAATTTTTCGAAAATAATTACAGTTTAAGAAATTATACTAAATTACTTTAACATTTTTTATTTTATTATACGAATAATTTTCTAAATAATATGTTTAATATGAACAAAACAGAATTATATGTAAAATAAAGATTACTAAATTCTCGCAAAAATCTGACAAAAATACAATCAAATAATATACATATGTAATATGATATCTTTATTTACGTTATTAACATTAAGTGAATTATCCTAATAGTACAAAGTCTGTAAATATTTTAAAAACATAGAAAAAGCGCTTGAATTTAAATTTATATAAGATTGTAAACATAGAAAAAAAAAATATGTTGCGCAAAAAATATTAATATGTACGGTCATTAATAAAAGTGCTTTTAAAATCTTTTGCCTCTACATAACTTTGAAACTTGTATAACAAATGTCGAGTTTCTATATTTTTAAATATATTTTGTAAAAAAAAATTAAATAGTAACGATCGTTTAATTTTATTTCCAATTTCTTCACACCACCATCTAACCGTTGTTAATTATATCCACTAATTGTAATTTTATTCGATAATTCACATCATTTTAATATAATTTCAATACTATACCTCCATAATTTACATTGAAAATTTGTAACTTTTATAAATTTTATAAATTATAATAAAATTATATATAAATGTATGTACAAATTATAGATAAAATACATTACATTTACAAATACGTTGCATTTATATATTGAATATATCATTCCGGTTTCAGGTGTATATAATATATAAATATAATAGTATTGCAAATCTTAATCTCTAAATATTGTGTAAATTAATGATAGTTTATGTATATGTGAATTCATATCTATGAAAGTTAAATTATATTATAGTGAAATAATTAAGTGATCTGAATTTATAAAAACGTATTTTCAATTGGAATTATTTTTTCTTTTATTCTATTTTAAATATTCCGATAATTGTAGTTTAAAAAATATTTAGTTGTTATGAATTTATGAATAGTAGAGTACATTGATTTTTAAAAATAATAAATTAAAAACAATTAATGCTTAAGTGAGACAAAGTCAATTAATTTTGTTTTCATTTACTTATTTTATGAAATTTATTACGTAAAACTTTTTATTTATATCGAATCGCAGTCGGTACAGTATTTAATAAACAATGTTAAGATAAAAGCATAAAAAGCACTATAAAATGTATCAATATTTTATCCAGTAATGTATATTTATTAAATATAATAGAAAGTCATTTGACATGTTTGTTGATAGGTTGAAATATCACCATTTTTACACCATTAATGAATCATTTATTAGTCTTCTATATCAATTATTATATTAACAAATAAACAGTTAAATAATAGAAAAATAACTTCGATATAAGTTATAGATGAAAATATGGATAAAATTAGTGATAATTAATATCTGAATTAACTTAAATATATTTGTGTTATAGAAAATAAAAATTATGGAATGAAAAATGGTAATTTGTCGCATAATATTTTATGTCGGCTAAAAAAAACTTATTAAATACTATATAAATTAATAATTTATAAATGATTGTCTGTATTAGTTGCGCGTCGATTCTCAATCATCGGAATAATTATTTCATCTTAACGAACAATGAAAAATCATTTTTTTTAATGTAATTTGCATTAAAAAGATATACTAATGGTAAATTAAATTTTATATACCTTTAATTTAACAACACGACGAAATTTCTTAAATTTAATTTTAGTTGAAAGATACCCTGTTCTTATAACCAAATTGAAAATTTGGAATTTACAGGGCTTCGGTCTATCATGGGCACATATAATATTTCTGTTTCACATCAAGTACAGCAATCACGCAGTTGGCTATTGAATTTTACTAACTTTCTATCATAATGGAGTTCATAATGTTCGTTTAAATCAATAGGGACACCGTTACTTTTAATAGGTCATATTATCATGCATTCAAGGATTATCGTGCCCAAGTCTTCATTGGCCCTCGTTAACAAGTAATTCGCTATTGATCATGATTTCGTGCATTCTAAATACGAATAGGATTGTCAGAGAAAATCCGACAATGACTCACAAGAGCCACGAATCCACAATAAAACAACATAAAGCACTGAAATCCGAAAATACGTCGACAGAAAGTTCAAGGCACTTGTAGGCTGCGAACCTATTTTCGCTCGATGGGTGCCATCTTGAGCGACATAATCTTGCCTTCAACTTTATATATTAGCACCACAGCCTTTGGTGAGCGTGCAAATGATACGATTTGTATTCTCCAATTCTTTATAAACGAGCAAAGTACTTCTCTCTATCTCTCTCTGTCTCTGTCTCTCTTTCTCTCTCAATCATTATCTCGCTTTCTCTCTCTCTCTCTCTCTCTCTATATATATATATCAATTTTCCAGCGGATACACAAGCGGACACGTCGCATTATTATCCTACGACGAATACTTATCTCATCCGGAGCTCCAAGCGTATCGAAGCGCCTCCCCGACAGAACGCGATCCCTCCCACAGCGGAGATAACATAAAGGAAAGGCCCGTCGTGGGCGCACGTATAGCCGACCGGGACGACTCGATTTCGCGGATCGGCATCGCGGAAGCCCGCGCAGCCGCGCTATGCGCCCACAAGCGAATCGGGAACGGGTTGCCGAACGACAGCGAAAGTGCACGGAAGAATGCAAAGGGAGGAGCGCGAGCGCGCCGAGATGAGCACCTACGCAGTGCCGCCTCTAACTCCGGACCGATAGTCGCGCTCGACACACGCCCGCGCAACCATGGCAAGCCGCGCACTCGGCCGGACCATCGGGATCGTACTCGCGATCGGCGCACTCGCCGAGGGCTTCGCTGCTGGCCCCTGGAGAAGGCACGAGGACAAGACCAAGTGCCCCAAGGTCAAGGGCATTCGGAACTTCGACATCAGCCAGGTACTTGGACGTCCGGCCTTGGCCGTTTACTTAGTCGTCGACGAGCGTCGAGCGGTCGCTTGAGCGGCCGTGTCGGGCCGCTTCGAAAGCGAGGACCTTTACGGACACGAACTTTCGCCACGATCGTATCGTTCTTTCACCTTCGCGGAATATAACGATGTTACCGAGCCATCGCCGTTCCCATCGTCGTTCCTATAGGCCACCGGGTCGTTCTCGAAGTAGGAGCGACGAGCGACAGGAGCATTGCTCCTCGAGAGGACAGACGAATTCCTTGACTTACCGTTATTTAATTGAAATGGCTCTTTAATAGCGAAACTAAGCGACCACCAGTGCTTGGAATTCCTGCGGTCAGCCGATCCCAAGTTGATTGTCATTATGGGAAAGAGGCGCGATCGGATAATAATAGACGAATACGCGCTCGCGAGATGCAGCGGCTTGACGTAGGCGAGAGTATCGTTTAGGTTGTTCGTAGCTGCATTAAAGGTCATATTCAATTTTACAAAGCGACTTTACCAAGCGATTGGCTGCGGGCGTCAAAAATCTTATCAAAAATTCTCTTCCTACTCTACTCGTCCGTGTATAGAAGGAAGCCACATATAATAATAACTTCTCGTGCGTTCTTTTTATAGATTATTTGAAATAATAATTACATTATTTAAAATAAGTACAAATTTTATTATTGTTTTTACTACTTCTGCTACTACTACTACTACTACTACTTCTACTACTACAACTACTACTACTACTACTACTACTACTACTACTACTACTGCTACTGCTACTATTACCGCTAATTGTTATTATTATTGGTATTATTGTTATCACTATTAAGTAAATAAATCCTTTAAAATGACCGTATAGAATGACGGATATTTTGGACGTAATATTGAAATAACAATTTAAAATCTTGTTTCATATATGAAATGCGTATGTGCATTTGATTTAATTTAAAAGTAAGAAAGAATCCAAATCTTTATTTGAAATTGAATATTTTTTACATACTTACGTTCATCTCTGGAATTTCAACTCGACCAAGCATACCTGTTAGCGTTTATTCGATAAAGCGCGGTGGCTGTCCTGTTATTTTGTTGAAAAAACTTCTAAAAACTAAATTCACATTATTAAATTTTTGTCGATACGTATGGGTCGCAATGATATTGAACAAAAAATAATAACAATAAACATCAACTTAATTTACAATAATGCCTACGATTTAAGGATAGTGTTCCGATCGGCCAAATTATTATTCTCAATCATAAATTACAGTGTTTAGGCAGAGAGCAACCCCCGGAAGTTCAATTATTTCAGTTTAAAGGTTTGAAATTATTCAATTAATAAGCGCTTGTATCTTATAAGCACTATACTTCTCGGAATAACTTGAATGAACGATGCTTATTAGCGAAAGATAAATCATACAAATATTATTGTCCCTCCCATGTGTCCTCTAATCTACTTTTATTCTACTTCTTTACTTTATATTTTACGTCACATACTTGATTCGCAAAATAACCGCATCAAAATATGTTCGCGCAAGTGACAAAAATTCTCGTACTGAATATAGACGCTTTAACGCGTCACTTTACCGATGAGTATTTTCTTTAATTATATCTCGGTAAAATTCCATATTCCAAAACAAAACAAAACAAAACAAAAAAAAAAAAACAAAAAAAAGAAGAAAAAAAACTGACTCCTTGTGGAAACACATGCGCGCACATATATACAACATAATAATTCTCACTCATTTATGTACAATGCATAGGCAGGTAGGAATTTGCGAGTGTCGAATCTTACGAGAGAAACTATTGGAATAAAAATAGACGTTAATTAAAATCATCGATGATTGATAACTAAGTAAACGTCGACCGGAGAACCCGGACCCGACGCCTCATCTCTCAATAATAACGAGTTTCTCACCCCGCCGACACTACACTATCCACCAAGTTCCAAGCGTAGTGTAATTATAATTTCATGCAGTTCCTCGGCATCTGGTACATAGTGCAGTACTACGCCAGTTCGGAGGAAGCCATCTCGTACAGATGTATGCGCGCGGCCCCTACGGGAAAATGCCGAGGTCACCATGAATTTCACCTACAGCTTCACCGACGACCCGATCAACGAGCAACTCGTGGGCAACATCACGTGGAAAATTCCATCCCCGGAGTTGCCAGCCCATTGGGTGCACGCCGAGCTTCCTTGTACGTTCGGTATTCCTCGACCATATTAATATATTAGCTCTTGCTTTATCGCCGGGCGCATTCTCATGGATCTCTCATTTGTCGGGAAATGGCCGTTGGAATGTTCGAATCTGGGTAATGAGCAAAGCAGCCCGTTTTGCAAATGCTTGCGGAGAAGCGATTTCGCTTCCTTTCTTGTCGAGTACTTGTCAAGTGTGTAAAGTTCTCGGTGATATTTTTTTTTTTTTTTTTTTTTTTTTTTTTTTTTTCTTTATAACCAAGAACAGCCACTAACACAATATATTCATGAGCTTACGCTCCCTCCGAGCATTACGTGGAAAATTCACGTCTTTGTAAACAATGCATTTCACTAACAAGCTTCCTAACTACATAATTAAAGTCTTTATTAGCGGACTTGTTGAGTTTGAGAAAAAACTTTGTATAAGAATATAATGGAAAAGATTGCGTGGACTATAGTCGCTCCAAGACCGCTCAAACTTCCCGATCAAATATAGAGCCATAATATAGAGATAATAAATGATAAAATTATATTTAATACCATGGGCATTGAAATATGAATTCTCTTTCAATGATTGGCGTATTTCCATCTCGGCGAGCAGACGAGGGCATTTACAATACCTACGTACTCGACTCGGATTATAAATTGTGGGCGTTGCTCATGCATTGTGCCGAGAAGAGCAAGAGTCCTCGCTATCTCTCCAGCTTTATTATGAGCCGAGAGTCCAGTCTCGGAAATAACGTCATCTCTTATCTCCGAGAGAAACTTCCTAGGTAATGCCCATTATTTTACATCTCTTATTTTTCCGCTTTTCTCTTCTTTCATTCGACCGTGTAATGCTATACCTAATGGTTATTGTCTTTGTTGCGCAGATATGACATCGATCTGGAGTATATGTTTCCCATGGATCAGAATAATTGTACGACACTGGATCCGTACAGCAACTCCTTTATCCCCCCCGCGATTATAGGGGCTAAGAGAAACATATCACGGAGACATCCACTTAAGCGAAAGCATAAAGCGAGGACGACGTGACTTGAATTAAACTTGACGATTGGTTGAAAAATCCCTAAGGGCTGTGTGAAATGTTCGTTAATAACATTGCGTACATTTTATTTTACCACGATACTATCGACTCAAATCTTTCGAATCTCTCTGTTATTGTTACTTATCCTTAAATAAATACCTTGAAAACTTTTTAAATACATTGTAATCATATAGATATCCATAATTCTGTGTGTGCCTTTGTCCGTGTATTTATCTATATACGTATTTGAAATACATACGTAGACACACACACACACACACACACACACACACACACACACACACACACACACACACACACACACACACACACACACACACACACACACACACACACACACACACACACACACACACACACACAGCACACACTACATAATATATATATATATATATATATATATATTGATATATGCACGTACGTACCTATGTTGTTTTGTTGTTGTCGTTGTGTATGTGTGCGTACGTACGCGTGTGCGTGCGTGTAGCAATTAGTAAACTAACTATAGGAAATAAAATTTGTATTCTTTGATAAAATATATTTTTAACCGAGTGAGAAATCGATAATTTAATAAACTTAAATAATAAATTATGTAAAATTGAAGGGAGATGATGAATCATAGAGGAGTCATTAATTTGGGCTAGTTTTTATTAATTCAATTAACAACGTCTTTATAATACTCTTCGTCTGTTTCTCTCATTTATAATCACGTGATCATAAAATGAAATGTTATTGTTTTTTTAGACCCGTCACCATTTCACATTAATCAGTAGTTTTACGAACGCACACTTCTAGCGGAATGAAAATGCCATTCCGCGCGCTGTCTCAATCATTCGCAACTTTTACTTTTGCAATTCAATACCATAATCATACATTGCTATTTTATTACATTCAATCGCATCTTTACTCAATGCACGCTTAATTGATTTTCTGTTATTATTGGATATGGCATCTATAACTTATAGGAAAAATATTATAAAATCATTCAGCTGTTAATGATTTATCATTTTTTGTTTCTTGCACAAGGCGATATTCACATCAGTTTCATGTACACATCAAACATACCGACGAGCTTACATAATGCACACACCTCTCTCCGACTACTTTAATCGTTCAACGATGTAAAAAGTTCGGATGCCTTGCATATGTTAACATGCAGTCAGCAAATTACTTTTACATAAACATTTATCGGATTGTAAATTTCAATTTTTGTTAAGTGTTTTTAGTAACATACCGAAACAGATGAACCATGACATTTTAATTAAACGATAAATATATAAAGTAAAATTACAATAGTATAACACAAGGATTATATAGTTGTTTAAGCTTAAATACAGCAAATTAAAAATTAAGATCAATTAATACAAGTAAGAATTAATGTTTCGTGTATTAACTGAAATTTTGTTACCGAATAATTGCCACACCCAATCAGGGTTGCTGTGTGCGTGTGGTCCCAACCTCTCGCTATTTTCAATTTCTATTACTGTGCCCGCACATCAAATATACATTCAATCTGACAAGCAATAACGGCTTTCAATTCGCAGTATCATCTATGTTCTCTAATAATTTCATACCTTTCAAAATTAATCAAATAATAGAGATAAAATAATAGACAAAAAGGTCCATAATTTTTTATTCCTGAAATTTTCACACAATGGTAAACCGTATTTTTTTTTTATTTTTTTTTTTTTGCCATGTCACTCTTTTAGTATTGTTACCTGATTTTAATTACTTTCTGATTTTGTTCTGCCTCATATACTTTTAATTGCACTAATTATATAACTTGTCAATTATCTAACTATTCACGTACCGTTACAAAGGTGTCCTACTAACAGTATTATTTTTTTGTTTTTTTTTTTTTTTGTTTTTTTCAAATTTTCGTCGTATCTTCATGTCATTTTACGTTTTTCGCATGAGAATTAATTTTCCCGACGTACCTGATTTGGTCGTGGAACAATTATCATACTGTGTTTATTTAAATCAATCAGTCAGTGTGCGTTTACATCTCGCATTGGAATATTTTGAATTGCTAGATCAATTTTTGGTAGCTATTGACTTAGTATTTCCTTGAATTTAATATAATATAGAAAGGTTTGGCTAATATAAAAAAGTCTTAAATACTCATAAATGGTTTCACTTTTGTACAAAACATTACGTAACAATATTCAATTAGGAGCTTAATTCATTAAAAATATTAAACATTATTGATTCCATAGAAGCAACTTTAATGATTTAATTATAAATTCCTAAAGACAATTTATAAAATAATTGGTATTTCAACACACTTAAATGCTTGGATACAGCTCACTGTTTAAGTACAAATAATAAATTCATAATGTAAGAATAATCAGTGATTCAGTTTTGTTTTATTTAAAACGTGTTAAAGTAAAGATAGATAGAGAGAGAGAGAGAGAGAGAGAGAGAGAGAGAGAGAGACAGACACAAAAAGCGAGAGATACAGATAGATAGAGGGGCGAGGGGGGAATGTAATTAATTAGGAATTCATTATTGGAATAATTTTTTCGAATTTCAACTTTACATGCTAATTGATTGTGTATTTGTAAATGTGTATCGAAGTGTTATGAAATTTTTATCTAAATAGGTAATGCTGCTACACTTCTAAAATTATATTATTTACTGCTTATCGTGTAATTTATTCAAATTCCTGCAACGACAAGCAGCAATTTTATTATTGCGGTATGACTTTTACGTTTTCGATAAAGAAGTAACTTATAAGTTACAAATATAGTAGATTTAAGAGATGTAACGCGAATTAGTAGTCATAATTTAATAATTCGTTTTGATCTTTCGTTTATTATACATACGTTCGGAAGTTACCGTTTTTTTATGAATCAACGAGCTTATAAGATCGCCGCTTCAACCTAAATATGAATAATACATTATCTTTTGCATTTATAGCTAGAAGAAGTTTTTCACTTGCTTAATTATTTTCTTACGAAGTAATATACAGCTTTGACTAACGGTATTCCGAAAAAATCAATTCGGTCTATTGTATATGTTATAATTAGGGGATTCCGACGAAAACGCGGAGAAGATCCAGAAGAATTAAATAACTTTCTAATTCTCTTTCTTTTTTATTTTTTTTTTTTTTTTTTTTTTTTTTTTTTTTTTTTTTTTATATTTGTGAACAAGTTCCTTCTGTGACCTTCAGTAAATGCAAATCACAAGGTCTCTTTTGGCGTCGCACAGACACACCGAATGTTCGATCATTGAATGCATAACTAATTATTTATTTATGAACACGCAGTCGCAATCACTCAAATTGTTCACCATCATTGCCATTACCTGACAACAACATTTATATTATTTGATTGGTCTAGTATAATATATAAGATCTGTTTTATTTCAAATGCTCTTTTTCTTTTTCTTTTTCATTTTATACTATTTACTAATTCTCTCCATATTACTTTTCTTATATATATATATATATATATATATATATATATATATATATATATATATATATATATATATATATATTATACATATATATATATATATATGCATATATAGAACTCCTTTTTCTCACTTTCGTGTTTCTTTAAATTATTGAGTATTGGTTTCAATGACTATTTCCCCCTAGAAGATCCATTACAATCAGACGTGTAGACTGCGCGGGTCGGGGATGTCCGCTGTCAGTAGACCCAAGAAACTGGAACCCATTGTGGTGTCGTATGAAACCGTTCGATAGCATCTTCCAATTGGGCAATTGTTTCATCGATGTCGTTATTTACGATCGTCAAATCGAAAAAGTGGCCGTACGCTTGCCTCAACATCTCGGATTCCTTGACCAAACGCTCGAGGCTTCCATCGTACTGAAATATTCATAAGCCTTAATAGCAAACAGGTAATCTTCAACGCGTGCTTATTTTTAAAAGGGTATACGTACGTCCGCAAGATTTTGCAAAGCCGGAGCAGCTATGAATACTACATAAGGTGCAAACTCGGCTGTACGGAGTACCTTTAGAGAGTGCGGCTCGATATCCAAAATGGCCAATCTGCCCTCCTCCAGAATCTTCCTGATTGTTTCGATTTTCGTTCCGTACATTGCATCTTCGTGGGTTCCTGTAATATTAATGTTAGCTAGCCTTTTCAAATAGCTCTATTATAATATCAAATAGCGGTATATTGCACATGAATTTCAATACCTACCATACTCTAAGTATTCATTAGCAGCAATGTCCACCATCATTTCCTCGTGAGATACAAAGTAGTAATTTCTTCCATTTTCTTCGTCATTCCGTGGCGGTCTCGTTGTATCTGGACATAATTTACAATAGTTCGATTAAATTTAGTAGGATAAATTTCAAGTTTAATGATGCACAATCAAAGCTTATCACTCACGTGGAATAGGATACGCATATTTGTCAGGATGCTTAGCGATGATTGTATTTTTTATATGTCTTCGGCCAACACCGTGTGCCCCCAGTAGGACCAAAGTTTTACGTTGAAATGCGGAGTCTAAAATGATTTTCAAATTTCATAATTTGTGTAGAATTTATTGTAGGGGAGATAGATGTTTTTTTTTTTTTTTTAATAAAAATTGAACTCACAAGGAAGTTTGACAACTTCTTCGTATATTACCAGATCTAATTGATCAAAAACGGCATTGTGCTTGGCAAGATATTTGTCTTTGTATTGTTTCTTTTTGCGGCCAAAAATAGAGCAATTAACTGAAAAATTAATACAACGAATAAGCATAGAAATATCTGGGCAGATAAATATCGCTTATTAGAATTAAAGAAATTCTTTTAAAGAATGTTAATGATACGTATTACATTGTATTTTCAATGCTATTGTTCAATGAAATAGCTTAAGTAGAAAATATTTATAAGAAATCAACTTTAAGAAATTAATTTTATATTTAAACGTTTATTCATTCAGTGAGTAAATATCGTTTGTTTGTTATTTTTTTTTTGTTTTTTTTTTTTGGTTATTTTGATGTTTCAACTAAATCTGTAATTATCATAATATATATTTTTATTTTATCAATTAAATTGCTTTGCAGTCATAATTATCTACGATATAATGACATAATATGAGCATTGAAACTTAAAGATAATGTGATGCACATTTATTTTTATTTAAATCCTAGATTTATGGCATACTAGTCGGTGAAGCTATACCTATTTTAAAATTCAATTATGTGATCTACTTGAGGCAAGTCAGTGTTCATAGCCCAACTACATTTCTATTTATAATTGCAACATATAATTATATAAATTTTAATAAAAAAATTGTAGAATACCTTTTTTATTTTATATACAGTAGACTATAAGGTTTTATATAGTTGAATAGAACGATTAATTACATAAATAATGAACAATATTTTTCTTCTTAATGTATAGGCTATTTTTCATAAAATTTTTAAACATCGCCAAGTGCTATGAGCTTTAATATGTTTAGAAATAGAGTGCCGCAGAATATTTTATAAAGGAAAAGCAGAAAAATAAGCTAGAATTCATAAGAATTGCAAAAACATATATTTTTCTAGTATTGTACTGTACGTATGTATGTATGTATACACACACGCATACACACATACAATTACACACACATATATATATATATATATATATATATATATATATATATTTAATAAAAAGTTCATCCGATAAATATCACACCTGCAGAGGCTAAATAATTCCTTAACCTAATTTTGTATAAATTTTTATTTATCGCTCTAATGTCTCTGATATGATTTAATTTTCAAAAATATTTGTAATCAGCTATGATGAAGAGATAAATCTTGTAGAAATATATTTTATTGCATGAAAGAGAACTAACAGAGATTTCCCATTTAATATATAAACAAAATATTTCTAAAAAATTCATGATTTGAAGAATCTATAATTGTATAATAAGGAAGTATAGAACTTTTTAAAATTAAAACAGATGCAAATAAAAAATATCAAATGATTTTACCAAAAAGTTGGATATTTTAGTTTCTTTTTAGTTTTTCAATTATTCAATTTGTTATGTTTGTCATTTTCAAAATTTTGTACGACTGAAGATATAGAAGACATAATTCATATGAGTAAATCGGGTTCGAAAAATATGAAGATAAAATGTAAAAAAAAACATGTGCGTAATTTTATACAGTGAGTACTAGATATGATATATATTACTATATTCTCTATATAGTTAATATTTTAATATAATTTATCTAAAATTTTACATATATATATATATCACCTGGATTATCTCTATTGTAAGACTACACTGATTATTTTGAAACTTTTTTAATTGTATTTAGCATCTATAATAGTTGATGTTCCAGCAGGTCACAACATGCAGTGAAGCTAATTCATATAGCTCACTTTTTATTATTATTATTATAATACATAAATTAACCAAGGATCGTTTAATTTCAATTAATCTTTTAATGGCAAAAATTATTATACGGGTCTATATTTTAAATAGGAAAATGAAACAAAAATTTAACGAACATGCATTATTGCATAAAGCGATTGATTTATGAGTACATTATTGTTTTTTATTGCAGTGAGAATTAATTTATTATTTTAAAAATTAAGCATTACTATGATAATTAATCATACGTTTATCTGGCACACTATGCAGATTATCTCATAGTATGTATATATATATATAACAAAAAGAAAATCATTTTCTCTCATGCTCAAACGCTATTAGATGGAAAAAAAAAGAATGTAAAAAAAGATTTTTACAATAGGAATTATACGCTAAATACTAAATATTTAGACCTAATTTCTAGTTGCATACACAAATGTATAAAAACATTTTTACAAAGCTAAACATTCTAACTACACTTATATGATATTCTAAAGAATTAAAATTTTTCTTAAATCTAGAATGAAAATTTAATAAAATGTTATTCATATTTGCGAATGAAAAATATTAAAAATTTTACATTTATTCTGGGTAAATTAAGTATATAATTGAAAGAATATTATGGACCCAATAGTCCAAGAAGTAATTAAATATAATTGCAAATATTCTTTAAGTAGTTGAAATCTAAAAATCGATTTTAAACTTTAGATGGGTTTCTCGCTTAATACGAATAAGAAATATTATATGCAATAGTTATGCGTTGTTTATATAACTAATGTCTATTTAGTGTAATGTTTATGAGTGAATTGTTTATACATACATATATATATATATATATATATATATATATATATATATATATATATATATATATATATATGCTTTTTTGCCATGCTATTCTACAATAATTCGGATATTTGGTCTACAGGAATCGTAAAATTTCTACAGCTGCAGGCAGAAATATCGTACCTGTCGAGCCATCACATCCTTCAGTGTGAGACGAACATCCTCCCTCTCCTTCAGCGTCTATAGCCCGGCACAAAATACAATAATATAACGTAACTGCAGCTAATGATTTATGTGTATGTAGACTTTAGAAGCGCTTAAGGATATTTAAGGAATTTCATATTAAGGCATATTTAAGGAAAACGAATCGTTATTTCAAGTACTACTTAATATTGTTTTATACAGACACGCCACCTCAGGCATATAATACGTAATTTATATAAATGTCTACATTGAAATATGGATTATTGAAATATTCATTCCAATTAGTTAGATGATTTTAACGTATATTTACATAGTTACCTTACAATCAATATTATAGATTTTAATTAGAAAGGCTTTGTCAACTTAGGGGAGTCTCACGAATGCTTTGTATAAACTATGTATAGTAAATAAATTAATGGGGATAGATAATAAATTAATTAACAATTAATTGATGCAGACCCATAATACGGACCGGTCCAATACGACAAGAAGCATGCTTCACGAGAAAAACAAGGTATTTCATACAACAAACACTTAATGTATTTACAATTGATGACGACCTATTTTACATAAATAATAAATGAGAGTAACTATTTTCTGACTTACGACATATAAAAATATCGAATTTTACACAAGTATAACTAACGCATGAAGACATACAGACAACTTTAAATATAAATTGTCCATGGACGTTGAAAGGACCATAAAGTTTTAATATGCTATAAGTAGGGACGAGCTAAGTTAAGTAAAAAATATATGTCCATTTAAAGTCGTTAATGAAAATGGGCGATCTGCTGGAACAGGCAAGTTAACCGTTTAAAAATCAAACATTTTCTTCATTATTCCAAATATCATGGTTAGTCTTTTCTTCGTTTCATTTTATTATTTTCTTTTGTTTTGTTTTTGTTATTTTGTTTTTCCATTTTATGAGCTATATATCATGGTAATTTACACTTAACGTGTAAATCAATGCCCAGCAATATAATCAGTATCAATACCATACGATGTATAAAATTTACCTTGTTCCTGTTTATTTTTTTCCATTGCCATACAAGCGATTCGCCATTCCTGAAGCTCCGGTGATGGTATAAGCCCAGCGGAGCCTCCAACTTGATCCTTTCGTGCTTGCCACCAATGATGATCATCTTTACTAATGATTTGTAAAATATCGCCGATTTTAAAAGAAATGCCAGCCTGCGCACAAGGTATTAATTCATCTTCCAAGGGATCGTAGTCGAATTGTGCGCGAACGAAAATCTGAAATTATAATGATGAGCTTTAATCGAGCAAATAATAAAAATGATAAAAGGAAAACATATATATATATATATATATATGACGAATATAGCCTTATATTGCAAAATTATTGAATGCTAACCGATCAGATTATTTACATAGTAAATTGCTATAAATGTGAAAAAGTGAAAATAGAAGTTATTCGTGATGTTGATTATTTTATTTCTCGACTTTTACTGGTAACATTATTGCCGCGTTAAAAGTCTTTAGAAATATAATGTTAAATTTCACATTCGGATGAAGGAAATTATACTTTATCAATTTGTCAATATCTGGTCGATGATTTTCCATGTTACTAGTATTTTATCGAGTGGTCGATATTATCAATCTAATGTTACGAGATGATATATGCGTGGAATATGTGGCCTTACATTACTAATAAAACTAAAGAAAAACAAACGATGAATGAAACAAAAACAAAAAACAAAAACAAAAACTAAAATTACATGGTAAGGTATACATACGCAATATACATTAGCATTACTTCGCAAATAAGAAGCTGTAGATTATAATGAAGTATAAGGTAAAAAGACACATTAACAACTACTCGTACAATGAGAAATAATTATTTTTTACTTTTAGATAGATTGATAAAACTGACAATAACGCATTCGCATTATTCAGGCATTCTAAATACATGCTTTTGACGGCTTAAATTTTAAATAAAATTTTGAAAAAAAGGGCTGGCGGCGGCGGGTGGCGAGGGATGGTGGTAGGGATGGGGGTAGGGGGGTTGCGGGACAATGAAACAAATTATAATAAATGATAATTAAGAAATGATAGGATATAATGGTGAGTGTAGAAGGGACTATAATAGCAGTGTGAGAAAAAGGACAGTGGGCATAATAGTGAGACGTGAGAGAACGATGGATAAAACCTAGTTAATAGGCAAGAGCGTGTTGTCATATTGAGAATGGATTGTCAAATTGCTATGTTTTGATGATATTATAACCTAACTTGTCGATCGATTGAATGTATAAAAACAATTGTTACAGGAAAACAAGGATAAAGAGAAAACGCATAGCCTTCTAACTACAGCAGTCCAATCACACCAGATCAAGTGGTGGTACTTACTAACACTGGCAGAGGCCTAATCCTGAACAACTAGAGTGTTGAAGAAACAGAAAAAAGGAAAACGGTTATTAATTCGTTTAGATGCTTCTAGATAAAAAAAAAAAAAAAAAAAAAAAATTATAAAAAAAAAATCAAACAATTCTGGATTCAATTTCAGCGCACAACACAATACGTCAACTTAGCGCTTATTAGTCGAGCTTTCCACTTCAAAATCTTGTGGCTTGATGTGCGTTCCGAGACGCATGCAAATGCAACGCTATATAAACAAATTAAACTAATGGCATATTTTTTACATTTTATGTTGATTTCCGGCTTTGGTGATGCATTATCGATCGTACTGAAGTGCAACGCTATAATTTCAAATGCATATATGGCTAATATTGTGCTTTAATTAAGCTATCTTGTCTATACCAAATTTTCACTTTTTTTACTCTTCAATTTCCTACGTCATTAGGCTTGTTCAATTTAGACGAAAACACATCTATTACATCTATTTGTCATTAATAATTTCATGACGTACGGCTTCATGCACATTTTGTCACGTCACAATAATCAGTTAATAATACATAATTACAAAAATTAATGGATGCACATCTAATTTAACATAATATGTACAAACAGAATTATTACATTCGGATAAAATATTTTTCTCTAATTTTTGGTTTCCTTGTTTTTTATTCTTTTTTTTTATTTTATTATTTTTTTTTTATTTATTTATTTATTTATTTTTTATTTTTTTCCCCTCGTAAACAATTTACATATTTAGGTATAATTTTCGGAAAGTAATAATATACGAATAATTATGTTAAGCTGAAGTAAGTTTTGAAGCTCGTTCTTTAAAATTTGTGAAATTAGTGTGTTAATATTTGAGATTAAAAGGAACAGCGTGCACTGGACAATACGATCTACAAGTTCCGAGGATCACAGAAAGAAATATTAATGATTATTATAGTGAAAGTTGCTCAGAAGATAAAAGATCGAAAAGTAAAGTTTCCATGTAGTCCATTGAAAATAATGTACGTGTAAAAGAACTTTTCGTAATAATTCGACACAGCTTGGTTAATGCATAAAGGACAATTTGTATCTTGGAAACTTTAGATTTCATTGTGTCGTATGAAAAATGCAGGGACTAAAATTTGAAAATACAACTTAAGTTGACTGTACATCACTTCTCATGAATGAGCATCAATTTTGAAAATGTTGTTTTTACTTGTTGTTCTCATTATCATTGTCATTATTATTGTCATTATAATTATAATTATCATTATAATTATCATTATCATTATCATTATTGTCATTATTATTAATATTATTAGTATTATTAGTATTATTATTAATGAGCTGCTGTATTTATCAATAGTTATGCTAGTCTAGATCATGATATAAAACGTAATATTGGCAAGGGTAATGAGGAAATGGTGAAACAATATTCTACATAATTAGTAACAGGTACGCTATTGACAACTCGTCTGGTGGACTGACTGCTGCTATTGTCGCACGTCCTGTGGCATTCATTGTCATGCGGACGAAACGGGTGGGGGGGGGGGAGAAGTATCGTCCCGAGAAGTCCATCCAAGCATAAGACGAGGTAGGTACAAATTCGGAGTGTCTCCATGCAAGAGGGCGTGCGACGTTTGTGGATAAGGTTGGGTGTGTGTGTGTGTTGGGGGGGGGGGGGGGGGGGGGGGGGGGGGAGGGGGTGGAGGGGGGTATTGATGGATCGAGTCGGATGATAAGAAGTAGAATGGATATTAAAATAAAAGGAAAAATTATATCAATATGCAGAAACGTATAATGTAATAAAGTCACATAGAAATATTAATGATTGTCAATAATAATAATCGATTATCGTGGCTTCAATTAGCGCATTTGTCCGAATTAAAAATTTATGGCAAAATAAATTTTATTGCTTTTGAATTCTGTAACTGCAAAGATGACCAAATATTTTCAATGTAATTTGTAATTATCTGTTATGTTCATGCACAGCCATAACCGTGCAGGAAGATATGGAAAATAATGTGATAACAATAACGGGTACTAGTTATTAATACGTATATATGGGAGAGCTTATGGATATTTTGCGTTGGTATCAGTGAATTGCAGAATATCAGTTAGTATTATTATTATATTGCATATGATAAGGTTAGTTGTAGGCGATACGTCTTGACAAAGTATTTTTCAGCACTTCATGCTTTATTTTATCTTCATACAATACGATATCGCAAAAACACCACTGCAATTCGCTCGCGATTTAGTCATTTAAATCTTTCGTAATGTTGATTACGATAAAGGTGAATTGGAAATAAAGTATTCATTGGCGCTTAATTTCAAGATGACGTACATTATCGTTGCTTATGTCGTGTTACAAACATAACAAAACACAAATAATATCGTTATTATAAGGTCGCTATCATATGCTAATTACACTATTTAAGAGTTAATTTCACTTTTCATTTCCTTTCTTTATAAATTGAAATTAATAAATTAATATTTATAGAAAGGGCATCTCTTCATTAACTCCACTCTTATTCTAATCGTACAATTTCAAAATATTCACGATTTTCAAGACAGTCTTACAATATTAAATAAATCTAATTATAAAAGGCAGCGATGTTTTACTAAGATGAAATCAGTGGTTTCGCATATAATATCAAGTTCACTTAATTACAATCATTAGAGTAAGTTTCGTTAATTAATTGTATAAGCATAGTTACACTTAATTTATATTAAATTCATAACATTCACATAACTATATAAACATTTTACATTGTAATATATATTGAATATTATTTTTTTCATATTATGTCTTTTACACCATTATGTTCGCAAAATTTGGGTTATGTCGGGACGTAATAACAAGATTGACAAAACTTAGTGCTACCTTAAAGATATATTTATTATATATATTTATTATATATTTATTAAATCAGCATTTAATATGTATTATTTTTCGTAAATTATTTTGTCATTTTTAATACATAAATATATTATTCTGTTAGAACAAAATGGCAAAATCAGTATTATAAATTTTATCATATTTTCATGAATAAAAAATGAATCGACACAATAATCCAAACTCTTCGTCTACCCTGTTTTCTTAAACATAAGCAAAATTTTGATAGAAAGATAAGTAAAAATTTGTACCCTCAACTGCATAGGCTATTAAAATTTTCTCAAAATAAATTATTTTAATTTCACATATGTAGTACATATTAAAATAACATTGTAATGCATCAGTTAATTTCTGTTCTCTAAACTTTTAAGATCTTTGTTAAAAACTTATATTGTAAAGGATTTCTTAACAAATCTCGTCATGGTCCCTCCACCTTTTATCTTCTTTCATTTGGTTCAATACGAAAAAATTAAGTGTAACTTTAACGTTTTTCTAATCTCAAAAAGAAAATATGAATTGCTTATATTGAATCGAAATAATTACACTCGAAACAAGTGCACAAGAGTTACTATAATAAAACAATAAAATACCTACCTCGAATAAAATAAAGACGGATCGAAAATAACTATTTTTAGTAATAAAAAAAAATTCAGAAAGTATCGGATTTTATTTCGTGCAAGTATCAATAAGCAAAAAAAAAAAAAAAAATTATTCATAGAATAATTCACCATTTTCTCTAAATTAATATAATTACATTTGAAAAACTTTTTTTTTTGTTTTTTTTTTTACTTATATGTTAGCATTAAACAAATGTAATACAATTTAATTAAAATACTTTGATGCATATAATTTAAACAATGATCCGAAGTAGTTTGACTAATTAAAAAAAAATTTTTTTAATTCAAATAAAAGTATGTTCACGTAACGTTTAAAAGTAAAGATTTTTCTTTTTATTTTTCTTTTTATTCGAAGAATAATGTTAATCCAATTTTATCTAAAATTATCATTAAATACATATCTTGAATTTCTTGACATTTATGAGAATTTTTATTTTCGAAACATATTTTTAATTTAAAATTTATATTAATAAATCAAACTTTGTTTTAGATTGAAAATTGAGTCTTAAGAGTACTCGGGCTATCTATCGGATAACTTGAAAGATTATTTTATAAAAAAATTTTGTCCTGGAAAAACGTTATTAGACAGTAGTTTTGGTAAATATGTAATTCAACACATTACATTATTTTTATAATAGTGTAGTATTATGTGAATAATTGATCTAAATGCCAATTCAGTAAACATTTGAACATGTCTAGCGAAATATATAATAACAAATTTCAAAAAGCAAAATTAGATTTAATAAAGAATACCGGTCATGCAGGCGAGGGTCTCAACATGAATGTAACAAAAAAAAAGTTGACTCTTTAAATTCAATTCAATTTCAACTAATAAGGGAATGAGTTTGTATTTATACTGAAAATAAATCAGTTTAATAATATAATTAACAATCTAAAATAGCTAATAGTGCATTTGTTACATTAGTTAAGTTTTGTACAGCCTTTTACACAATTAAATCACGAACTAAGACAGCTCAGTATTCAATCCTTGCTAAAAAAAAAAAATGTTTATCTTGCGTAGGATTAATTGAAATTATACCAAGATTAACATGAAATCAATCGGTAAATTGAATAATTGCAAGATTATATTATGATTTTGCAACATTATGCCTGTGGTGTTTATTTACTTTATGTAATACAAAGTTATTTACCGCTCAATTTCGATAAATCACCGAGGTATACTCAATATAAGAAGAAGACAACCAACGAGCAGAGGCGTGCTTTTTTTACGTAATCCTAAGAAAAGGAACAAATTTATAATTTATATCATGCACTCTCTTTGCACATTGCACAATTGACACAATGTACGATAGATAGAGACATCATTATATTAATGAAATGATGGCCAACTGTAAATGTGGGTCAATTTAGAGGATTAAGAAAAATGGTTGAAAGTATGTGATAGTGCATTTTTTGTAATTTAAATGGCAGAGATTTTGAATTAGATATTCAACTGTAGATAAACATTTCAATTTAGAAATAATGAAATTTAAAATAAATATCTTGATGTAAATAATTTTTTACGAATAACGAGCATCGTTGACAAAATTGTAAAAATACAATGCTTTAACTGTAAATTGTAAAAAACACGAGCTGAATTAATTATAATTAGTTTATTATTCTTGAATGATATTTTAAATATAAAGCTCCTCCTATATATTTTAACTATATATATCGTTCACTGTATTCAGTTATTTTATAACATAAAAATGCTTCTTACTGATATTCTTCATAGTTGGCTAAATTTAAAAATATAATCTTAACGCGATCATCAAAGTAATACGTACATAGGTGTGCTCGCGTGCGCGCTCATGTGTGTTTGGGTAATGGCATATGCACGTATTTCGTATTTATGCATGCATATCTTATAAAGATAAAATAAAATTTTAAGGATGCGCAATACCGGCCTTTACTTGCCGATACCGTAAGTTGCGTCATACTTGACGAGTGACAATTATTAAATAATCATAAAAATTCATGAAAGCCAAATGCAAATGGAGAAAGCCTTTTTTAATAATAGTACACTAAATCTAAATATTGTACAAAGTTTTAGCGATTAGAATAATTAAAATAATTCTATTCCTCTCTCGATCGCTTAACTAAGAAATTTTCAAATTCTCATAAATACGCCTAGTTCACAATTTTTCTTAACTGCACATTATTTCAATAAAGAAAGAGCAATATATTCTCACGTTGCGTTAATAAAAGCACGTTTTTAATTAGAGTTATTTGTTAACGCAGGTTAAGTATGGTACGACTTTCGTGATAAAAGTTAATATTACAATCCCTTTACTTTCATTTAAATCCGTTTTTATTTAAATTCAACTGACCCACTTTTGTAAATCTCGGAAATCAGGATTCCGGTTATTTGTCGTCACTGAAATAAATTTTCACCATGTAAGTTGATTATAGTTTATTATTGGAATAGAAAAAATTAAGGGTCCTCTAGATGTAAATGTAAGCATCATGTTGCAATAATTTGTAAAGAAGTTGAATACGAAAATAAATTCGTGATTCGGTAGCTAATGATTGCATAAACTAATTAACGAAGAAACGGGCTTATTGATTTTAATGAAATTTTATTTTATTCTTAAGCTTTTATTACGTCCATTTTTATGTAGAAACATTCTTCTCTATTATCTATTTATGAAATTATATATTATTACGAATAAAGGCTTTCGATGCTTTCAACAGAATTAATTCCTTTAACAAACTATCTACAGATTTTATAAGTCATAACTTTCGAATATAAATTTCTTCAATGTATCTTTATCTTCTACGCATGCGTAAAGATTATTCGTTTGTATCTATCAAACTGCTGCAGTCAAATCAAACCAATGCAATATTTTATATATATTGGCAGTTGCCTCATTCTTATCATATATATATATATATATATATATATATATATATATATATATATATGTATATTACAAGGAACAATCGAATAAGTTAATTTGTATATTAGGGTAATACAATCATTTACGAGAAATATTCGGTAAATGATTTTACGAATTTTTATTAATAAATTACGTGAATTTTTTTTTTTAAATATAACTAATTTTATTCCTAAAATCTTCGAGTTTACTTTCGTATATGTCGAAGTGTAGCCTTAGAATTTTATTTCATGCTGAACAAGAGATCTTAACCAATGAATTTTTTTAAGCTTTTTTCTTTTTAATACTGTAGAATAACTTGAAATTAGTAAATTATTGATGTTTTCTTTTAGTCTAGCTTTTTGATTTTCGCGAACGAAGGACAGATAGTGGATTCAAACGACGCCGAGGTGTATTTTCAGTGGACGAAGAACTGCCAATTTTAAGCTTCGGGACTTTTTGACCTTTCGAAGTCTTTAAATCTTTAGGAGTCTGTGTTTTAACAGATTTTGAGTTACTCCCCGCAGCACTAGGGACTGTTGTTACAGAGGTGGATGCGGTTGCAGTTGTGATATTGGTGGTGATAGTAGTGGTGTGAGATTGGGAGTAGGCTTGTTTTTTGGGGCTTACTTGTACCTCGCAAGGAGGTGGTGCACTCCTATATGATGGAACAATCTTGAATGTTACTGATCCACGAGCTTCTCGCTGTAACAGAAAATTAGTGCTTTCAGTAGTATTTACGAAGTAGTACAGTTTATTGATGAAGAATTATTGCTTAAATTTAAATGTTCGCTCATTATGAGAAAGGTGTGACAATCTTTAATAAAATTGGAGGTAGAATTCTAACAATACGTATTACAACACATAATGTTTAATCATACACAATAATACGTATATAATGGTAATATGATTATCGTAATACATTTACAGATGCTGGTTAGTCTGATTTTAAATAATATGAATTATCACTGCCATTGTGTAAGTAACTGGAAGGTTTGATATCGAATTTAGCCATTACACTGTACTGTCATATGTGCGATACATAGCGTCAATTTTTAATTCATGATTCAGAAATTTCGAATTTTTATAGAAATCAGCGCGTAAAAAGAAATCTTAATATATGTGCCAACATGCGACAAAGTACCAATTTTATCAAAGGTCTGATGATTTTTCGGGAATGATTTTTTTTTTTTTTTTACTGCAACATTGCATAAAAATAATTAAATAAATGTCTAATAGATAATTGAAGATATCAAAATTTTAATTATCAGTATCATTCAACTAAACTGTTTACGAATCAAACGTGAATTAGTTGAAGCTGAAGGATCGTTCAAAGATTCCAAAAATTACTTTTAATCGGACATGATTATAATGACCATTATACTAAAATTTAAAAATATCGTGCTTTATTTGGTCGTGTATAATTAGATAATTTTATATAAAAATGAAACATCATCATCATCTACTCAAAATTATAATTAACAATTTAATGATATTAATAATGGTATCGTGTGTATAATATTTTGTCCGCTTAATTTTTGTATATTTATTCACGTATATCATAGATTAAATTAATTGAACTCTGCAAGTATAAACACGTAGCTCGTAATTAAAACGAACACTCCTGTAAATGGATACATATTTTATAAATTTCATATTGCATTCAATAATTATACTGTGTTTGACTAATTTAGACATTTAGATTATTCGATAATAGAATAAACATAGCACGTTTATTAGAAAAATTTATTTATATTTACATAAATATCAAAAACATGATACGCCAAATCTAATCTATTTTTGTATTGTTATGCATGTGACGTAACGAGTATGGCTAATTTCGTGCTGTAATTGTAATAGGAGAATAAGTGACAGTTAGAAGTGCATAGGAATATTAGTACTTCAATGATATTCAAGATCCGTCGCGAAAATAAAGATTTTGAGTTTAATTTATAGATCATTTTAAGCGTATAGTTTGTTAATAATAAACATATTCGAAATCCTTATCACACGGGACCTTATATCTTTTGTCTTATTAATAAGAGTATAAATCATTAGCTTTACGAGTGCACAAGTAATTGCCAAAAATTAAAGTTAAAATAAATTTAATTTATACGAATAAGTTTATTATTCAATTAACTCTTGTTATTGCTCACTTAGAAATGTATAACAAGACATGTTTCATTATGCATAATATAAGGACCATTTTAAATAATGAATGTTACATGATTTACATTAATATGAAATATAAATGCCGAACAAAAGTTGATGGCATATCAGCTAAGACATACCAATCTCAATTGTCATACATGGCAATATATCATCATGCAAATCGTGTAATTATCTATTAAATCATAAAATTATTGTCGAGTTGTGATGTTTCCGATAATAAATCTTGAAAATAATTGAAAATAATAAAATCAATGATACGCAGTAAGTAAACTCAATTATTGATTTCTCTAGTTTACGAAGTTACATAGTTAATACCACTTGGGCTTATGAACACTAAGAATAATTGAACTTATCAAGTTACATTAATATCGTATAAAAGCACATTTCAAAATACCTATAACATGTATAATTTAACGTAATTATTTTTAAAATTTTAACGATGAAAGAAACGATAGGCTCGTAAAAAGTATAGTTTATATTTATGCATAGAATTTTTCGTAGTTTTCAGCACTATTAGAATACATTTAATTGAAATATTAGTTTACAAAAATATAATATATCCTTTTCAAAGTAAATGAAACATTTCATTATAATTTTCTATCCCTTCGATTTTTCAATTTTTAATATAAAAAGCACACGATCCAATATACTAATTTGTATGAATACATATTGTATATCATAAGCAAATAGAAAGAAAATTTTACAGCCTGAATTAATAATAATATATGTATATACTGAAATAAGGACAATTATTGATTAAGTGACGTGAAATGAAGTAAATTGCAAATATGTACTTACAAGAATCTTCTGTAAGGCGTTCACTGATTGATTAGCTACTGCAATTCCATTTATTTCCCTTATTTCATCACCAACGTGCAAAGTCGCCTGTCTATGAATCATTCCACCATGCATTATTCTAGCGACAATACATTTACCATCTTCGTTCATTTTCAGTGTTATCCCCTAAAATGTTTCAAGTGTAGTATAAAATAAAAATGAGCACTGTAATATTTATCGTAATGTATATTATAATAATTAAAGTATCAAAATGCAAACACATATATCCAAGTATTTAAGAGCTAATATTTGTTACTTATACTATTAGCATATAAATATTACTAGTTGTTTAATGATAAATGGTATAAATGTTTGTGACTTATCTTTCACATTTGAATACTGTAAAACTTATCGCTGCTCAAAATAATATACATAAAACTCTATTTACTTACCCATTTGAAGGCATGAATAATTAAAATCTATTAATTAAAACTTTCTATGGGCAAATTGAGCTTTATTTTCGTTTGAAATAGAATTGAAATTTAAGATGTTATCAAATTGAATGGATAACTGAAAGAACTTATCTTTGTACGTCGTATTAATGTTTCGTATATTTCCTTAATATTTAATTGGAGATGGACATTAGTTTTCCGTAAAATTATTTTTCCTTAACTATGCATCTCTCGTCTATTTAACTTGGAGATATCGATGATAAAATAGAATGGAAAAAACAAAATGACTGCACATAATTATTCACTTACCATCGGTTCGTCCGTATTCTTTTGAAACTGAACCAACCTGACTCTTGTAACATTTTCGAGTTCAAGGTCGCCATTTTGACCCTCAATATCATCGCCACCATTGAGATACGGAAAAATAGGAGGTGGTGTAGCCCTCTTTGCATCTTCTCCGTAAACTTCTTGGCCAGTAACATCTTGCGCTTGAAGTAAGGCCTAAAAAAGATATACGAAATATATTAAGATTAATATATATTGGTGCTTACGATAAGGATACGTTAACAATAATTTATTGCCAAATAGCCAGCATTATGGAAAGTATATAGATTAAAGTTTTGAGAGTAGAATGTTCCTTCGATCTTCTGAAGAACTTTTTAATAATTAGGATTTACACTATATAAATTTTTTCAATGTATTTTTTGTTTTTGTTTTCTTTTTCATAATATAGGAGTTATTTGGTCACATCGAATACAAGATGCTTTCAGCTTCAAACAATCTGTTATTTATGAATTCTTTATTCCTCATTTTACATTGTGCGCCGATATTATTAAATAAATCATTATATAAAATATCGGCTCCCTGTTAAATTTACGATAAGGAGAAATAATCATATTTCTTCGTGAAAATGTTTAATTTGTAGCCGAGCTCGAATTTTTCTAGCTCATTCAAACAAACATTTAATTAAGAAGAATTCAATGGACACTCATTCAAACAAACATTTAATTAAGAAGAATTCAATGGAAAATTTTAAATAAAAAAAAAAAAAAAAAAAAAAAAAAAAAATCCTATCCCCAGTATGAAAGATTTATTGTGTTGATATCGCACACAAAATATTGAGGACATTTAACGCGGTCAAACTTGTCACCTGAGCACCGCTTCTAGTCGACACTCCTATTTCCACAACCTTTAACTCGAATAAATTCTAATTTCCGTATAAAGCTTTTGAAAAATATTTACCGTAATACTTTAAATTGTCATTTTCAAGATTATATGAATATGTAAATCCCCTCACAATATCTGCATAAATGCAAAATTTATTTTAATTGTCAGACTGTACTCGATTCTATTCATCTAGCATTTCAAATATGATTTTAATCATCATTTGAGCGTTAAAGTTTTGTGCAACATTCTTTATATATGTTTATGTATAACATCATTATGTTATTAACTGTTTAAACGAGTAAAATTGATATATCCATTATATCTTATTCATTCTGATAATAGTTTGAAATTGAATATTCTTTTTCATTTTGTATATTAATTTTCTTATTTGTTATTATTATTTTCTTTTCTTTCTAATTATTAATTCAACTTTAATGCTATTCCATTTAACAATAATTACCGTTTTTTCTATTACGCGATTTTCTTTCTAACTAATGAAATTTTCTTTTTAAAAGTACGTTTATTTTATGTTGAGATCTGTCATGAATATAATTGCCAAGTAAATTGGACGAGTGGAGCATATACAACATATGCGATTTAACGTACTTAGAAATTATGCAGGCACTACACATGGTGCATACAATATTTTTCATCCAGTAAGCAGTAGCATAATAGAGTTATTTTTACATAATAATGATTTTGCAATTGTTAATATAGTTTATACATACCAAATAATGTAAATGTTAGAAATACATTTGGAAAGTGAATGCTCTTTTTAATTTAATTGCGATATACAGATGTTATATAATTGAGATGACTAATTTTTCTGTGAATGTGTGTGTATATACATGTATCGGTATAAATTACAAAATTTAAAGATGAAATTACTAGCTAGAAATATTAATATTATTTTAGATTTTTTATTCACGCGTCGTAAGCAATAAATTGCTTTAAAAGCCTTGGCACAGATACAAAAATTAGGAAAAGGATTTATGGTGTGGATACTACTTCCACTACAACTATAAAAATAATAAGCTTATTGTTTCCTCAATTCCTATGTAATATAATTTTAAATGAAAATCTGTTTATTATTAACGTATCCATATAATTATTTTCGAACGTGTTTATCAGACAATAACAATAGTTATAACTTATAAAGAACAAGTTAATTGTTATGGCGAACAATGATGAATAACAACAATAATAATACTCTTTATTATTTATCCGACTATTTATTTGATTTGTTGGATTGTTTATGTCCTTTTATGAAGCCATTGTATCGTCATAAATGAAATTTGTAGACAATCGAGTAAAATCGTGCTGATAAAAGGTAATCTATGTCAACGGATTATCAAAGGAAAACAAACTCACGTAACATAGCATTTCTAACACCTATTAATAAATCAATCTTGGATGAAATCTTAACAATAAGTACAAATATTCACACATCTTAGATGCACTAACTGCCGAATAATATCGATAAGCGTTTGAGAATTCACGATGACATAATCTCGCGGGTAGTTCGAGACGATAATGATTTAGGTAAATCACTGTTTACATTAAAAGAAAATATACGACATTGCGAATACGAAATTAGATATGCTAGTACCGCACGTGCTAACTGTTGACCGAGTACTGACTCAACACCCATTATGCGTATAGCACATTTTCCACCCACTACATTTTCTCTCAGCTTCACATCACTCGAGTTTCCACGTACCCGCGAGTGAGATGCGTTGCATCGAGACATTTAACATTGTTAAATTCTAATATAAAATGCTCGTGTAAAATTGCATTTTAAATAATAAACGTTGTTCCCTCGATGTAAATAAATATTATACTACTATCCTATCAATTATATCATTGGTAAAATTGATTATTGTTTGTGAAGGTAAAAAAATGAACCAAATAATGTAGTGCACTATACGTTATTGCTTAATGAAATATCCAAGTTATGTTTGTTATTGAAATTAAATATTTTCTTAAGCTGTATTAATTAAATGTATTGGGCTTTAAAAAAATAATTGTGTAAATAATATGAAAAGTTGAAACGGACATCAATGTACAGGTTGTAAAGAATTCAGAATTTCATAATAAAATTATCATTTTCATTATAATTAATTATACGTTATTAGGTTATCTATGTTTTGTCACTATTATGACTATTATTATTATTTATATTATTCAGTAGCTATAGCTCTTGTGCTGAAGTTATGAAAATATTTAATATTAAAAATTAAAATGCAATATCCATAATGTATTGAAAGACTAGGAATTACTTTTTAAACTTAATAGCGTATAAAGTCATTTTCAAAAATTTTATATTCATGTGCGTTATGATTGTTCGTGAAATAAGATTTCTTCATTTAAATGTAACAGTGATATACTTACTGATATAATACTAATTAACAATTTCTTTATTGCCAACTGAATTGATAATTAATATTGGAGACAACGTATTTCTTCACATCGACAAATAGATTTTATTCTACACAACGATTTTATTACTTTTGCATTTTATAAATTTGCAATGGAACGAACTAAATTAAAAAAAAAAAGAAGTTATTTCCATAAAAGTAAAACTGCCATTGTTCGTGTTACTTTTTTCCTAGGATATATCCTTTTTTAATGCATTTGTTTGCAAAGCCACCTTTTATACGTCCACGTTTATTTCGTTGAAAAAGAACAATTACTGTACTTAAATTTTATTAATTAATTTTCTAATGAAAATAATAAGTACAACTAACTATATCACTAAAATAGCCATTAATTTTTTTATATAAATTACTACTCTCCATTACATTACTTAATTATTGTTAAAATTATTTTTTATATTACTTGGTCATAATAACAGAACAAACGAAGGTTTCATAACTTCAAAGATTTTCTAGACTTAAAATATTGGTAAAGTTAAGATATTGTATGAAACTATGTAGGCCACCGTACAATATAGATGTTTAGAGAATATTTCCATCTCGTAGTTTCAAAAAGTTTTTTCTTTTTTTTTTTCAAATCACGAGTTACAACGTGTGACGACGTAGTTTAGAAAAACACTATTGTTCTCAATTAATCTAATATATTGTTCATTACTCTTCATTAATGAATTATACAATTTCGTTTCATTAGAATAAAATCTCAAATAATAATTAAATTTTTGATTGATTTTAATGTATTGAAAAAAAAAAAAAAATATATATATATATATATACTAGATTCAAATATACACAATTGAATATTTTATCCAATTTTTATATGAATTCGTGAACTCGAAGCCTCATTATGGATGGAGAATGATTATTACGGAATAATTATTCATACAATAATTGATTATACAATAAAACAAATATTTAAATCGTATAGCATTAATTAAAATAATCTTAGTAACTACTTTAATATAAAATTGTCTTTAATAGTGTTAATGCTTACGAATACATAATTTTGAAAATAGAACGTTAAATCTTCAATTAAAAATTCTAAAAGCGTATTACTCAATGCTAATACTGCTTTTACCCGTTTTCTATTTATATCAGTATAATTATTTTTCTAAAACGTTATATTTAATAAAAATAGGGAATACTAATTATATACCATAATCAATAATATTATTTTACCGATATTGCAAATTATAAAATAAGCGTTTATAATTCTGATTATATTATCTTTGCATTCAGGTTGAACAATATAACAAGTAGATTTTAACTAAAAAATAGGCAAAGTTTTTTTTAATACCTATACTTATAAGCTTACTATCCAATCAAAATACTAAAATATTACTTATTAGAAGATAGGCGATATTTTTTAATAAGTTTATTACCAAAACTACTAATTCATATGTAATAGCTTATTGTCGTAGAATAATGAAATATAATGTTGCCCGAATAATAAAAAGACTTGAAACAATTAAAATAATTTAAAATTTTTTTATCTTTTATTCTTACAGTTTCTAAATACCTGAAATAGTTGATTAATGTTTGAAAATTATATTTCAATTATTTAACAGTTCAATGTATGAAATGGAAAGAATAATCAAAGTAAAAAATTTTAATATGACATGTGGTAAATTATGTTTAGATAATTAAATTATTTATGAATGAATGATGCCATAAGGCATCAATTTTGATATAAATCAAATTTTTCAATAACATATGAGAATCCAGTGTCATGTGATATAATGCAAGAGCTGTTAAAATTGTATACAAATTATTGATTGAGAAGAAAATCTCTTAACTACAACTTTTTATTAATATAAGCTCTGTTTAAAATGAAAAAGTATTAAAAGAGTCGGGATGCATTTATTAAATTATAAAATTTTTGTTTAATATGAATGCTGAATA